CACACACACACACACACACACACACACACACACACACACAGTTGATGACTGCAGAATCAGCAGCAGTTCAGAAGAGTTATTAACGAGGTTCAAAACACTTAAGCTCAACAGTTCAGGCTCTTATTCTCCATCTAATTAGCTTCTCACACGGGTGCAGAAAAGTGAATTATTTATTGTACTTATCCCCCCACCCAACCAAGATGTCTGACTTCCTGTAGGTAAAAAGAGGTAACACTAACTGCAGAATAATGACTCGATTTCATTTTGATATGGGTTTTTATCTAAACGCAACCCAATGCTATTTATAAAAAATATATAACCCTTTGATCATAAAGTAATACACACCATAAATTTCTGTATTTAAGTCATTGTTTAAAACATTTCTAATGGCAAAAATAGATATTTAACTTTCATAAAAAGGCATACATAACAGAGATTTTACAAAGTTGTATTAGGTTGCACAGAATTACGAAGCTGAGTCAAATTAACTGACTTTTCAACTATATCTGCAATGTGAGGAAATGCACAGGTGATGTATAAAATGTTTTATTTCCTACTGTGCATAGTGTTAACTACAAAAATGACCAAATAAATAATGAAAAAAAGCACTAAAAGTGAAGTGCATAAATTTGTGTTCACATTTACATTCAACTGCAAAAACACAAAGAGAGAAAATCAAAGAATTTCTGAATTCACACATGAAATAAATATTATTTTACTCTTAGCCCTCCTGTGTTCTTGCACACCATTAATGCCAGAAGATGCCAGACAAGCTGTCAGGCAGACAAGGCTTTGAGGTGCCAATATGAAAGGGGTGGGGTGGGGGTCCAATCTGTCAGCTCAGTCTGTGCCCCCTTGCCCTCTCGGTCAGTGTTGAGCTGAGAAACCCCCCTTCTTTCTCAAAGCACCTGAATCCTCGTGACAACATAAGCTGACCTTATTACAGCTCAAGGTTAGCGGGAGGTTATCTACTCCTCTGACAGGCCTGCTGCAAGTCTAGAAAAACTGTGACGAGGACAGCCAAGGTGTTCCAGCATATATCACTAAGGAGGCGGAGTAACGGACGAAGATGTGGAGTGGTGGGCATTAAAACAAATCACTTCGACCGCTACAAAAATCAAAAACCAGTACAGTAATAGCATTAACACTGGGTAAACACAAATGTTATTTGTCGAAGCTGCACAACAAAACAAATGAACAAGATCCCTGCTAAAATTCATACACACTCACCCGTACAGCTAAAACTGCAGTGCACAATAAAAGCATCAGAGTGCAGAGACACAGGGAACCAACCACTCCCAAAGCTCATTGTTTACTCTGAATGTGCCAGACAGATAAAACACACATCAACATGCAGTTTTTAAACAGGCAGACGCCTCAGTGATGGGGAGGAAAACAAAAAAAAAGGAAGAAAAAAGAGGGAGAGAGGTGTATTGATGGCAACAGGAGGTGAGCAAAGCAACGTGTTTCCATGGTTACAAGCAGCCCACAGCTAGACGGCTTGATC